ATTTAATTTTAGTAAATGAGGCAGCAAAATACAGAATAATCAATTAGGCTCAAAGTAATAAAACTTAAAAACAAAGTTTCTATGCGAACAAAGTCGTGGGCATAGCCAGTTATAAAATGAGTTAAAAAATCTATATTACGATCATATCACTAACCACCGCGGCGTTGCTCCTAAGGAATCGCATAGGTCTACTCAAAATAATGAAGGTGTAAATATTATTATTATATTCATACTTCACGCCAATCCCAGATGTGATTATAATTTATTTTGAAGGGAAGTTTTTCGACGGGAAGAGTAAGTTAGTTAAGTTGTACGGGTTACCGCGCAATAGTTAATAAAACATGCATTACTCATTAATTTAGTCACTTAGAAATAATATTATTTGTTAATTTCGCCCACATGTATAACTTCTGTGTTTCTGCCTATACATCATTTCTATAATGATCATATAATTATGTAAAGAATTATTCCTTAACAATAAAATCAGTGTAAGAACGACTTTCAATGGGTTTGTTTTGTACATTAACTTTCCCTTACATTTCACTTTGCACTCATCTTGTAAACTGTAGAAAAACTAGAGTTTCTTCGTTTCTTCGAAGAAACAAGATCACATCAGTGTATCCCATCGACATTTGAAAAGTGCAGGTAAAGTGGCCCTTACGCTGACTTTGTGTTCTTTGTGGATTTTTTAGGCCTGTTGATCTGCTACAAGAAGCAAGCATACACTCTGAGATCATCATTAGCGGTCTGATCAAAGGCCCAAACATGACACTAATAGCCTAATAAACGAGACTGGGCTAGATAATCTCGGGTAACGTGAAAACGTTCAAATGTCACGTTGTAATTATCGACTTATCAGAAATTTTTCAATAGTGGAAGCTCGAAGAGATAAGTGACTCAGCTGCTGAATTGACACCAGACGAACAGTATCATGAGCAATTCTACCAGTCCACAACAAGACGACTACCCAACAGAAGATACGAGGTTGCTCTTCCGATGAAGCCTGATTTCAATCTCTAGGTGAATCTAAATCAAGATCGATTGCACAATTCTACAACTTGGAAAAAAGATGTCAAAAAATGAGGTCTTTGCTGAAAGATACAAAAAAAATTATGTGAAATTATGAGCAACAAGGTCACATGTCTCCGGTTACACAACACAGTGCAATAATGAACTATTTCCCACACTAAGGTGTTAAGAAAATTGATTCTACTACGACAAAGCATCGAACAGTTTTCGATGGTGCATCAAAAACATCTAGTGGACACAGCCTCAATGATTTAATGGAGAGTGGTCCTAACCTATAAAAGGACTTACAACATCTCATTTTAAGGTAGTGTCAACAGAAATGTGTCATAACTGCGGACATAGAGAAGACACCTACCATGTACCAGGTAATGTTGGCGTGCAACAGTATAGTTGTAGCACGAATGGGTTGGCTTGAACGGTGAAGGACTGCGCTCTCACAGAATACCAGCGTAAAATAGCAGCTTAATGCTGCAGTGTTTCGTAGAGATGCGGTGAGTGTAGAGAACCGGAGACCCTTTTTACTGGAAAAGAGGCATTCTATCTTAGTCCTCACAGCTGACAACGCATCTGCATTTTAATTCGAAAAGGAAGATAGATGTAGATATCTATTGGCCACAGCAAACACTTACCATCAGGTGAACTATGTGCTCGTTGTTTACCCGTATTTCATAAAAAAATGTCAGGTTTATCTAATAATCAAACTGCTTTAAATTTTCAGTTTCATCATCATCATTACAGCCTTTAATAAGTCCACTGCTGAACATAGGCCTCCCTCAAGGAATGCCACAAAGCACGGTCCTGAGCCACCTGCATCCATCGACTTTCTGCATGTCTTACCAGGTCGTCACTCCATCTCGTGGGGGGTCGCCCTACACTTCGCCTACCGGTACGAGGCTGCCACTCGAGAACCTTTCTTCCTCACCGCTTGTCGGTTCTTCGAGTAATATCGCCGACCCACTGCCACTTCAGCTTACTAATCCGTTGCGATATGTCGGTTACTCTGGTTCTACTGCGGATATCCTCATTCCTAAGTTTATCACGCAGAGAAACTCCGAGCATAGCCCTCTCCAAATTTTCAGTTTACTATCGTTTAAACTACATTTTTTCAATTTGTCATTTAATAAATGGATATTGCATGGACGAAATCTAAAAGCTTTTCGCTTCACATCTATGAATATACATTTTACATAAATACAGGATTTTTTTTTCATTTTTACCGTGCTTCTCTTCTCGTGGCAATCACCTTTTAAACCTTTTAAAATGTACCTTTTTCACTTTTTAAACAGCGAAAACTTTGACGCTTTTTAATTTACAAACACATTACTAGTTGACGTATACGTTAAAATACTGGATAAACAACCAAATAAAACCCATTTCCCTCGAAGGATAGAAAACGGATATTTAGGTTTCAGCCGAAGCTTGAACCACCCTTCAGGGTCCTTGCCGGCACCTTCAAAGGTAATGAGGAGCGCGGCGCTACGCTACGGCTGAAACATAAATATCCGTTTTCTACCCTTCGGGGGAAAACGGTTCTATTTAGGTGTTCGAGCCTACGCTTGAACAACTTGAGACGTGTTTGTATTCTGCTTGCGGCGCTGCGATGCGTACTGTGACTGATGTTTTAATATAATAACAAATTAATCGGTCAATAAAAAAACTTTAGTGTCTTTTTTTAAGGTTTATAATCAAAAACAAAGTATCAACAAAAAGTATATAGAAAGTGAATAATTTATCAAATAACAAACATAAGTAGGTACTTCTAACTCTTGAATTTTCCATGAAATGCTCATATAATCTACTTTATAAAGTTGAAAAATCATCACTCAATACCCTCGTAGAATGGTTGTGATTAATGCCATTTGCGGACGTCTCCCTGAAGTAGTGATTGAAAAATGTATTTTTTGATCTCCAGTTTCCTCTTTTAAGAATATCATCAATATTGTATTTATTATTGGTCTAGTTTTCGGACGCAACTGCAGCTCTGAAACTGCCTGCTGAGGCAGAGATACCTGCTTCCCAAAAAAGTGTCCGGATCCATCTCGAGATAACACAGCGTGATGCATTTTTAACCGTCCCTCTCGTAGTTATGAACAAGTTCCTCAAGTACTTTTCCCTTCGTCGCTCTCGAGAGGCAAAAATGGATTTCTTTATTCACAAAACAAGATTTAGACGTGCTTCGTTTGCATTGTTTTTTAACACCCATTCAGATTATTCCTAAGTGCTAGAGTCGGTTTTGGAACCGAATTGAGACCACAGAATTATCTCATCTCCGTTATCCATAAACAACCCTTTCCTAATGCTTAATAAGGTGAGATCATGTACTCTTCTTCTTGAAGCTAATACGAGAAGGACACAGGTATGTCTAAAAATTTGAAATAGACTGTCTTCGTTTATAACGTAAGTCCTAAGGAAATCCAAATGGTCGCTTATTTTCCAGGGGACGGCTTTCTTTGTCGGGGGATTTTTCAAAAAGATTGTCTTCTGTGCATGCTTTACCAAATAGTGCGAAGTTATTTCTTCTGAACGATGAGGGTTAGCTAAAGCTGCCACTACTGATTTGTGCAGTGCAATGGTGCGAGGGGCCAGTCTTATGGTGTTATAAAGGTGACATAGATATTTTACTAAATCTAATGCGTTGGGGTTATCCGCAGATATATTGTTGGTGCGATCCCAGGCCTGCAACCGGGACCAAGCAGGTTTGTATGTTTTCAGAGAGGATTTCCTGCAAGATGTTTCTAGAAGATTTATATCCGTACTGGACCAGTTTTGTAATTGTTTACTCCAGCCCGTACCTTCCAGACCAACAAACTTAGGCTCTCTACGCTCTGAGGTGCTAGATTTGTTCGAAGATCTGTTAGATTCGACTTCAGATCTGTTATTAGGATTAGCGGGCAAATTCCCCTTTCCTTTAGGTCGGGCGTCCAGAACGCCTTCGTCCAATCGGAAGTCACTATTAATGACGTTCCTTTCGATTTGTTCAGATGATGAATCACGCGGGGTATCAACGATGGTGGGGGGAAGATCCATCCCAGTTTGAACTGCCACGTCTTGCTGAACACATCTGTAAATAGACTGTGTTTGTCTTTTGCATCTTTGCTGACATAAGTTAGTACCACCGCAGATCTCGCAAATGCAATCAGATCGATCTGGGGGGTGCCCAGGTTTAGGAATATCATTGATACTGCCTATGGCTGAAGGTGCCATTCGGGAAGACCTTTTTCTCGGAAGAGGCTGTCCGCCAGACCGTTGTATATCCCGGGTATATAACGGGCTATGAGGTGACAATGCTGACATTGGCAAAGTTTCAGAATTTTTAGTAAAGTCTCTAGTAGTCTCAAGGACTTCGTACCCCCTTGTTTCATGATATAAGGTACTGTTGTTCGATTGTCGGTCTGTAACATCACTGTTTTGTCTTTTATAAAAGAGCGGATTCGTGTTAAGACTTCGTACAACGTGTTGAGTTCCTTTTGATTGCTGTGCCAGAAGTTATGGGGCACATGGACAAATGTGCAGCATTTCGTGAGATCTTTTTCTACCTGTAGTACGATTTGATGTTTCTGTATCCGAAAGTGCAGGATTGCCCGAGATTACTTGATCTTGTTGAGAGGTCTGTAGTTCGAAGGACGCACTTCAATGATTCGTCAGTTTACTCTTTATTGTGTGTACTGCCTCAACAAAGGCGTAATAATATCTCCCGGAGCCATGTATCTTTTTCATAATGTGATGAGAATAAGCTCCTCAGACCCGAGACCACTTTGTGTTTGGTAATGAAATAAAATTTTAAACGCAGACTTATAGACCTCTAAATGATAAAAAAAAAAATTTAAAAAAATTATAAGTTATTAGTTTTTTTTTAATTGTACGTCTCCTATACAAGACTCTGGGTTTTAACATGTCAATTTTCTAATACTGTACTCAAAACGAAAAAATATGAATTAAAACGTTTATTTAAACAAAAACGTTACAGTTACTTAGACAGATTCATGATAGCGTTTGTAGCAATTTCGTCCTACTACAAGGCATAAATGCATGTTACAAGTAGAGCAAAACACTCTAGCTTTCTTGCTTTTACATCCTGGCATTCGGCATCTGTGATTGTCATTTTGTTCATCAATCAATGGCAAATGACCAGCCATGGCTGTCCTCAGTTGAACTGGCGGTTGAGGTATACATTTTCTTTTACGGCTCCAAGGTTGTGCTTCTTCTGTTGAGTTGTCTGAATCTACTTCATGAATTATGTGTATCTGTTCCCTCGCTGGTGTAAAATAAAGTAATGAATTTGCAATTTGCACTTTGAACTCCAAGTAGTCCAAAATGTTTTTTTTAGGGCATTCTAACAATTTAGCTTCATTCCTGTATATAAGCCATCCAGCAGCTGCCGCAAAGTCAAAGAAGTGGAAAATCAGACGAACAGTCCATTTTTTGGAACGTGCTCTAATTCTGTAAAAACTGATGACCCTGTCCAACATATCTACACCGCCCATCATGGTATTATATTGCTCTATTGCAAATGGTCTGTCAATTTGGATATACTGTTTAGTTTTTTTACACCAACATCTGCATTTGTTGATGGGTTCTTTGGAATCAACAGATGATGCCATTATTACTGGTTTGTTATCAAACCACTTTAGACATGCCACATTACCGTCACTGCGAACGAGTTGATCCGAAGAACCACGTCCTTGTTTTCTCAACTCATTGTCAGTTTTGAAATTGCAGTTTTTAGGTATGTTTGCCTTTCTAAGAGTACCTGTTGCCTGCATCTTCTTTGAACGTAATTTGTCCAGTAAATCCAATGATGTAAAGTATCTGTCCATGTATAACTTAACTCCTTCAGGCAAAGTTTCAGATAACTTCAGCACAACTTTTCCGCCAATATCAAGACCTTCAGCTTCATTGGTTGTGAGTATTGTATCTCCTTTGCCCTCATACATGAAGAAGTCTAAAGGCACACCATCTGGAGTAGTGCACACGAAGTTTTTTAAACTGCCGCATTGATACTTGACCCCAAAAGGGTATCATCTGCTCATCTACACTAATATGTTGAGATCTGGGAGTTTCTAGGCAAGCTTTTCTCACAGTTTTGATCAAAGGGTTAACTTTCCAGAATTTATTTTGCTTGGATGCTTCATCCACCTCAAGATCATTTACAAGTTTCAAATTTGTCCGAATTTTAAAATAACGGTCTCTAGTCATGCGGTCTGCTATCATTGCAACCCTTGTCCTGTTTGCCCAATACATTTTAATCCTTGGCAAGCCCAAATAACTCATAGCTATAGATATGCCAAAAAACAATTTAATTTCTTCCTTAGTTGTGTTCAGATTTTGACCTTTCTTCAATAAGTATGTCTGGTTTGAATAATTACTTATTATTTCAAACATTACTTCAGGAATATATCTCAAAAAATATTCAATTGGTTCTTGTAACAAATTAACGCGACCTGCAGCTAAAGGTTGACAGTACATGCCTGGTGGATATGGAGTGAAATCATTTTCATGCTTGAAATATAGTCGACGACTTGAAGTCTGACGAGCAGCAACAGCAGCCAATGGTACGTCATCATCGCTCGAGTCGTCGTTTGAACCTTCATCCTCCAGCTCTTCCAGGCGTGGTTCAAGATCTTGACTGCCTTCGAAGTCATCGTCAGAAAGGCCTTCAACGGTAGAATCATTGCCATCAAACTCTAAAATTCTTGCTATGTCGCTATCCGTCATATGGACTGCAATACAAAACAAATAAATGAATAAAACGATCGGATGAAAATAATTAAAATACCTATAACAATATTAAGTCTGAAACCCCATGTCCCCTCTACGGGACAATCATGTACTTGACGCGATACTCGGTAAAATATTTGCGGAAATTTGAAAGCAATATCTTATTTTTATCTTACATACTTTAAAAATGAACAAATACATTCGTTTTTAAACTAAAATGCGTTAATTTCAACAAAATCAATTAAAAACTTACCTTGGGCAGCCATTTTTTGCAGAAATTTTCAACCACTAACTTCAAGCTGTCAAAAGTTTACAAAAATGAGCGCCAAACATGGTTATTTTTTTTTTCAATAAGTGACATCTACATTGAAATAAATGTACTAATAATTAGGAAGTTACACTTTGATAGGCGCTGGAGGGCAGTACTAGAAAAAAGGTCTCGTATAGGGGACGCCAGGTCCTACTAAAGCTCGGCCTAGAGGCCAGTGCAAGATTTTTGTCCTTATGGTTCTATACATCCTCTCAGACAAACAGCTACAGTCTGGTGCAAAAACTCGGGCTAGATCAGCGGTCGGAATAGCGAATCTTAGTTTTCCCTCAATTTTAGAAGAGACTTCGGCTCCAAATAGTTCGTGAAAACTGTAATCATTAACTTCCCATGACCTCCAGGCATCCGGAAAATGTTGGTCAATTTTTTTGACGAGTGCTGCAAAACTTTTCTCTTCTCCTGTTGGGCAGGGCCGAGCAGCTAATTCTCCCAATGTTGTTTGTTTCGACATAATTCTGAAAAGAAATAGAAAAACATTGTTCCGGATATACGCCATTTAATGTTATTATGAGAATGACACGTAGTCTCAGATAACGTTAACTAAACGGTAAAGTCGTGTCATTCAAACGACGTCGTTTTGTTTAAACGACAGTCGACGTGGTCTTACTTGATAGTCAACGTCGTCTTACTTGACAGTCGGCGTCGTCTTACTTGATAGTCGCCGTCGTTTAACTTTACAGTCGACGTCGCCTTACTTGAAACAACAGGCGACACGACGTCGTCATAATCAGGTGATAGTCGACGTCGTTTTTTTCAAACGACGGGTCAGGTGGTCTCACTCAGACGGTAGGTAGTGTAGCCGTCCACAGAGTACAGTGACTGTCAAAGTCGATACGACATGCCGTCTTGATCCGGCAGAAAAAACAACCATGCTTTTAGGTGCTAGGTGGCACACAAATGTCGCTGGGCCGGAGGCGCCGAGCGGTATTCATAATAGTTTCAATATAAAATGATTTGTTACTTACATGAAATTTTCAAAGATACGTGCGAGTGCTAAGAGTTTCAAAATCGTACTGAGGAGCGCGGCGCGTGCGCCATACGCCAGGCGCTGCGTCATGAGTGAAAAAGATAGCAACAGTCTACAGATACACAGTGGGAATGAACAGTTTGAAGGTGTGAGTGACGTATTTCTGGTAGCGTAATCTCAAGTGGTTCAAGCGTAGGCTCGAACACCGAAATGAAAGATTAATTTGTGGAATGTTTTAATTGAACGTTAAAGAACGACGCTTTTGTTCTTATTCACCAAGAAAATTTTTGGATTGCAGCTGCAAAAAGGCCACTGACTCAGCATTATGCTGCGAAATAATGAATTATTTTTTATTATATTTGTTTTAATATCTACCTGCCAGACCACTCCACGATGTAAGTGTAAGGCATCACCACCGAAATAATGGTTTCAGCACAGTTTCTAGCCGCAGAGCGTGTCAGAATTCATGTTGAGCTTTCTACCGCAGCGTTAATAGTCTTCGCCCTAAAGAGGGAACGCATTTGCTCAATCATTGCTCGTCCGAAAAATATCATAACACAACGCGCTAATAAATCGTTTACAATCCGTAGAATTCTCGGGCAATCTACATTGTCACTGTCTCTATAATGATAACGATATAATGATATGTTTTATGAGTACACGTTAACGATGTTCTAAACTACAACAGGAAGGTATAGGTGACAATAAGCAGAAAATAAGAAAACTTAAAATGAGACTTATTTTAAACTAATAATATTTTTTTTGCAAAAGGAGGATAACATATTACTGGTAATAAGAAATTTATAAAAAATAGTCTTTTTAGCAAATCACTAATTATAAACGTTACCTTTTCCACCATCATATACATGGTACAGTCACGCTGAAGCTCAAATAGAGTTGTAGCACGACCACGCTTTCACAAAAAACCAGCGTGAAATAGCAGCTTAATGCTGCTGTGTTTCGTATGGTGAGTGCAGAGAAGTCTCCAGTTCTGTACTGGATACGAGACATTCCATCTTAGTCCCAGGGGTGACAACGCATCTGTATTTTGATTCTTAATTGAGGATAGATGTAGTTGTCCATGGGACACAATATCCACTTACCATCAGGTGGACTGTGTGCTAGTTTGTCGCCCTTATTACATAAAATAAAGAAATATAATTGATATAATAATGTCCACCATCCTAGATATAAAAATGTGTGGAGATACAAATATTTCTCATATTCCCATAAGCTTCGCAATTCCATCATGGGACAAAATCGCAGGTACAAAGATTTGTATTTAAGTTGTATTAACATTTATTTTTTACTTTTCTTATTTTTTTTTTGATCTCATCTAGTTGCTATTATGTGTAACATATAAACCTACACAATCGTCAATGATTAAAACTAAAATAAAATACATTCAAAGGTAAAATAAAAATTTATCCTTATTAATGACAATCATGAAAGTAAGTAAATATCATTTAAACATCATTTTTATTTCCTTTTTATTTAGTAAATTGATCTCAAAACAGTAAATTTTAGAACACATTTGATAGGTATGGCAAAGTATTCTCGTTGTAACTTAGTAAAATCAGTACTGGCCAGTGAGTTCAGCTATTTGTGATATCGGGTCGTTGCCTTTGTTACCCGTACGTGACCTGAATTAAAACGAAAAAACTTTTGGGGATTTTCAAGAATCATTTTTATTTTGCGATGTGTTACTTTTAACGAAACGCTTCTTACTAATGTTATGTTGTTTTTGTAAATTAAAAGTGCATATTTAAAAGTATAACAGTTTTTTTACAGATTTTTTTAATATTCAACTAGGATAACTATATTATTTTTAACTCTTTATTTTTAAGTTGTGGTAAAGCGTTCTAAATTTTATGATATTTCCTAGGTTTTAGTCCCACCCTATTGTCTTCTTATATAAGAGGAAGTCTTCGTTCGTTCGTTAGGAAACATTTATGATCAAATCATGTCCAAACCAATGTTGTTCGATGCTTAATTGCATAATGAATACCTGATTACATTTTCGTTAATATAAATTCTAGGTTTTTTTCTTCTGCTTGCCCTTCTCTTAAATTACATCAGTCTGTGGTTTAAAAATGCAACCACTAAGAATATATGTGTTACCATATAAAATGGTGAAACCTCAATCAATATGTATATATCAGAGCTAATGATAAATAGACAAGAATTTCCATGTCTATTAATTGTATAAAAATTTACACAGTGATTTGCTACGTCCTCATTCGTAATGGAAAACAACGAACGATAAAGCTTTCTGGCTGGATTCGACAGTCAAAAAGAAAAATCAACAACTGAAAATATCAGGCCGTTATGAGTTGATACCGTACTAGGGACCAAAACGATCTTAGTGCTATACGTCACGTACATTTGGCGTCGTTGGATTGGCCTATTTACATGTGGCAAATACAAGATAAAGAACAAAGGGTACATACACATTTCATATCTATAAAGTCTTAAACAACGAGAACGAAACTCAATATAAATAGTTATAGATCTACAAAAAATGAGCCGTTAGTTTCATAAAGCTGCTGTACCAATGTACATTTTGTTACAGCTGGCTCAGATCTACTGCAATTACCAACGCATTAAAAAACAACACTTATTTTGTAAAAGATAATTATTGATATAGTTTTTTTACATAAATAATAAGATCTAAAGTGAAATGTGTTGCAACAGTTAAGATAAAAATTTCTTTCAAAAAAATCTGAGTTAGTCCTTAGTCTTATTGTATAGGTATGGAACGAATAGCACATTATGAAAATTATAGAAATAAATCAATCGTGCTGCATCAACCAGTACATCAGTTAAAGAGCTTTTTTGACTGCATACACAGTGAAACTAAGAGTCCTTGATAAGCCTCCAATATTCGGTCTCCCTTGTAGAAAGGAATCAACAATGAAACCAAAACTATTTAGTTATTTGATTCTTCAAATGAATACGTGTAATGACCTTCATTACATTTTCGGTAAAGAATATTTAAGACTTTCCGTTTTGTTAGAAAAAGTAAATATGTACGTATTGACAAATCTTTCGCGTTATGTTGGTTGAAATATAAAAGGCATATCCCAGTGGGTTCTGAAAGTCTAAAGAGAAGAAAAGTAAAGGTGAGTATTTTTCATAAACATAGTTCCTGTCCGTGGTGCCACATTCTTCTCGAAATTTGACATTTGCTGGAAACTTATTGTACTTTTTTAACAGCTGTGGTAGCTCATGAGCTAAGCGTTCGTTTTAAAGTTTTACGATGCACGAGCATCCCGGGTGCGACCCCCGCAGGCACCAATGAAATTGTTAATTGCGATTTTAAGTACTGATTTGCCGCGTGCTCGGAGGTGAAGGAAAAATCATGAGGTAAAGATACTGAATGAATTACTTTGACGTCCAGGATTCCTTACTTTTCACAGACAACTTTAAAATAAATAAACGAGGCTACAAATACGTTGTCACCTCTAAGAAGTAAGATAGAATATCTCAAATAATGTAGCTATAGTGGCTCTCTATACCCTGGACTGTACTGGACTGGAAATGGAGTGCAAGCAATGCTATTTAACAGCAAAAATAGGTAAGATGGTTGTACTTAACCGGACAGATTCCTATGCTATCTTGGTTCCCGACATGACCGGTCCAAGGTGTATATTGTGTTGGGTAGACGGTAGCGAGTGGGGTGTCTCTACCCCTACCGCTGCA